GGGATGCCATCCAGAGGGACCTGGACAAGCTGGACAAGTGGGCCTGTGTGAACCTCATGAGGCTCAACAAGGCCAAGTGCAAGGTCCTGCACCTGGGTCAGGGCGACCCCCGGTATCAACACAGGCTGGGGGATGAAGGGATCAAGAGTAGCCCTGCCGAGAAGGACTTGGGGGTACTGGTGGATGAAAAGCTGGACATGAGCCAGCAATGTGCGCTCACAGCCCAGAAAGCCAACCATATGTATTCCAGGCTGCATCAAAAGAAGCGTGGCCAGCAGGTCGAGGGAGGGGATTCTGCCCCTCTACTCTGCTCTGGTGAGACCCCACCTGGAGGTGGGGTGAGCCCCTACTGCATCCAGCTCTGGAGCCCTCGGCACAGGAAAGACACAGACCTGTTGGAGCAGGTCCAGAAGAGGCCCATGAAAATGATCAGGGGGATGGAACACCTCTCCTATGAAGAAAGGCTGAGAGAGTTGGGGTTGTTCAGCCTGGAGAACAGAAGGCTCCGGGGAGACCTTATTGTGGCCTTTCAATACTTAAAGGGGGCTTATAAGAAAGATGGGGACAGACTTTTTAGCAGGGCCTGTTGCGACAGGAGAAGGGGCAATGGTTTTAAACTAAAAGAGGGAAGATAGAGATTAGATAGAAGGAAGAAATTTTTTATAAGGGTGGTGAAACACAGGTTGCCCAGAGAGGTTGTAGACGTCTCATCCCTGAAAACATTCAAGGTCAGGTTGGACGGGGCTCTGAGCAACCTCATCTAGTTGAAGATGTCCTTGCTTATTGCAGGGGGGATTGGACTAGATGACCTTTAAAGGTCCCTTCCAACCCAAACCATTCTATGATTCTAAGAGAAAGCAAGGAGGAGACTGACATAGCAGTAAAAAGCACTTAAGAACTGTAGAGACAGATAATTGGAGGCATACTACCACTGAGCAGATATCAAATGGAAATTATTATCTAGAACTTAAGGTACAGCTGGAGATAAAAATGGAGTTTCAGTGGAAATTTCACAGTGCAATGGAAGAGAGGAAGGGAAGAAGAAAAAAAAAAAGACCTATTTGTAGGCAGTAACTGAACAACAGGACCTCTGAAGTTGTATTACTCTGAAGGAAAGGATTACAACAATCAGCAAACAAACAAAAGCCCTCTGAAAACAACTGTTGGGAAAAGTTTGACATTATGGACAAACGTGGAATAGACCCAGGAAGGTATCACAGAGCAATTAACCACTAAAAAAGATCAAAAGTGATGGCTTATTGAAGAGACCAGGATCTGATGAGAAGTCATTTAAGATCTTGTAGAACACAATAGTCTCTACACACCACAAGCAGAATCAATGAGAAAGGATCAGAAAGCTACTACCAAACAAATAGAACTTGACAAGCCTGACACCAGACTAGATCCAAAGAACAGAACATTATTCTATTTACCAAGATCAAGAATAAAAGAAACAAACCTGAGCCTGAAAGGGGATACATGGAAGACTTACTTTCAAGTCAGTAACACACACCAATGTAGGATTACTGTTCAAGAACCTGGGTGATGGTAACCTCAGACTGAGGAAAAACAGGAAAGGCTCAATAAAACTTAACAGAATTCTTTCAATTGTTGAATACTAAAAGCAACAGAACAAACCAATTCTCCCGAGATTACTTAAGGATTGGAGATTACAGATGGAGATTTGAGATGCCTGATTACAGGAAGACATTAACAGAAAAAGTTGTCTCAATGAACCGATGACCTAACGTGGATCACTGTCGCAGTTCCTGTAACATGTTTAAAAATGAAGAATTAGGCAGGAAGCAGTGCAGAGGAAAGGACTGTGAGAATACATTTGGGATCTGAGATTATCCCTTAACGAAAAAAAGAGTAAAAGTTCAGCTTGTTTAACCTACCAAACCATGACAAAAACACTATCATGCTTTATGAGTACTGAGTAACAGGCAGTACAGAAAGAAAAGCATAAGGAGCAAACCTTAAGGACAGTGTTGACACAAGAACAAACTGTCCAGGACTAATCATAAAAGAAATGAAGTGATTTCTAACCATCAGAAAATTAGTATTTCAAAAGCATTGTAGTAAGAGTAGGAAAAGGAAGCCAAACTACAGAATTCTTAAATTGGTTACATGCAATAGTCTTAAAGATTGTATGCCATGACTGACCCCTGCAACAACCTAAGGGATGCAACTCAAACCTGTACTTCTACACACAGAAGCAATTTACACAAAAACAGGATTTTGTGTGAAGAAGCTTTTTTTATGCTCGGGGTTTGTTTTTTGTTTTGTTTTGTTGTTTTTGGGGTTTTTTTTGTTTTTTAAAAAAGGGACAGGTACACCCTCATATGCAAGCAAGTCTACCAGCAGAGGTTTCCCACCTCAGGTATGGCCAAGTTTTACACTTTCTCTACAGTGTTATGTGAAAGACAGAAAGGTTTCATATTGCTCTCAAATTGTGGTACAGAAGGAAGCCAAACTCTCAAAGCACTGGCTCATCAGAAAAAATAATATGCAGCCCACATCTCCTCAAAGTTCAACTGTCTTCCATCCAGAAAATACAATTCTGACACAGATCTCCATGCAATATTTTACCTTTTTTTGCTTCTGATTCATGCTGTTTTGGTTGACAAGGCATCACAGTTTGAGTTAAGATTTTCACTTCAGTCATTTCAGATAACTAAAATAGGGAGGAAAGAGTTAAACATTTTTTAATATACTTCACAAAATTAGTTATGACGCTTGTTTCCTTTAAACATATTAAAACAAGGATGCATGTTCCTGGGTTTCTTAGTTAAAAGTAACAGTAATAACAGTTGTAGCACAGTTTCAGTAATCAATTTTGCTTTCACCAGTCACCAAGATTTTGGACAATTAATACTTTCTGTGCACGAAGAAAACTGGGTTCTGTTAATTTTTTCTACTCCTTGCAAATGAATCACCATCTTCTTTACAGTATAAAAAGTCTGAAAAAAAACAGTCTTGTGCAAATTAAACTGTAGTCAGAACTGCAGCTATTTATAACAGTTGATGCACCTCTAACTCGAAAGATTAAAGTACTGCAAAATAACTGCAGAAAACTGTAAATAGGAATACTGGTAATGTAAAACACCTGAGAAGTTTAATTTGAACCTGTAGACTGTTTATTACATACAATAAAGGAATAGTTCAACAACCTACAAAGCAGTATAGGTAAGCACATTTGAGGCAGCAATCTTTTAGACAGAATTTTACAGTGTTATTGCTAGTTTTTAAAGAAGAACACAGTTATCTCCTCCTTTTCTCTTATCTCACCCAGAACACAGGCAGAAGCTGCTACACTGGGGAATAGTAAAAGCAGGAAGGACTTTCCTTAAGACCAAAAGAGAGACTTGGGACTCTCTCACTCAGCTGAAGGTTTCCTAAGCATCAAGACCTAACATCTACAGTATGACGACGAGTTCTTTCCAGCTGCCAAAACCTTGAAGTGAGTGTTTTGGAAAGTCGGAAAGCAGTTTATCCTCAACAGTTTGTCTTGGCTCCCAAAAAGCTCCACCGGTTTGGCTGAGGAATTTTAATCTCATTCTGAGACAGATGGGGGCGGGGGGGCGGGGGCAGGAAGACCTGAAAATTTTGGGAAGCATTTGTCAAAAGTGGAAGAGATCCTATTTGCTGGACAGAAACAGCAGTTAACACTTTGTACTGTAACTACACCACCAGCTTTCACGGTGCGCTGACTACAAGTTGTGAAATGGCAAAACATTTCTAGTGTATTATCCACCCTGCTCGCACTTCCATTTTCTGTGGTTGAAATTTAGTTATCTTTTCATGATTTGTCTAAAACTTACGGGGAAAAAAATCTGAAAAATCCAGGGATTTCAGAGAATTAAGTTAATAGAAAGCCATACTGCTAATTCTAACTGCTTTGTGGTGCTCAACTAGTCTTTACAAGTCTTAGCTATTCAAAGGCTCTTTCCAAGTACAAACAAGGATTTAACACATTCTCAAATTCCCAAGAAAAAGACATGCATGATAAAGCAGAATTTACAGCAATGCGCCAGACAATGTCACCACAATATTTTTACATTGCTTCCTGCACCACCTCTCATCACATCATCCTGCCAACTGCTTTATAATATCATTCTGCTATGCTTGGTTTTCAGTCCAAAACTTAACATTTGAGTATCACCACTCACAACAATAGTCTTACACATGTTCCTCTCTGAAATTCATCTACAAGAATGGAATCCATCTATAAAGCGTATCGCTGGAGCAGGGCATGTATTTCTGAAGCTCAACATAATTTTTAAATGGTAGTCAAGAAGTAGTAAATTAAAACTGATACTGACTGATAGAAACTTTTCAAGCCTCTATCTCTACCTCAAATAGATCTGAGGTAGGGGACTCAACACTCTCCAGATCTTCTGAAAACTCTTTGCATACCATAAAGGAATAAAAAGTATTCTTTGCTTTAAATTATCCAGTTAGGGCACAGTGAGTATTCAGGCACTTTCACTCTGAACACCAGTTTGGTGGAAATTCCCTAGAATCAAGGATAACATCTTAGATACAAGCACTATCACTGTGCTCATCATTAACAGTAGCTCTTCTCCACTTCTAAGGCTTAAGACTACAAGTTTCAGACTATAAGTTCCTCAGATAGTAGTTTTAATTCTGTAATTCACTGTCCTTTATACTCAGAGTTGAATCTAACACTGACCAGCACTCCTATGTGCCATAACGATGTTTTTTTTCCTGGCAGAAGTCTAAGCAGCTTTAAGTGTGCATACTAAATATCCCAGAGTAAAACAGTTTGGAGAATTCAGTTGCCAGATTCTTCTTCAGCTCTTTCACTGCTTTAAGAACCTGGTTTGTCAGAGTTGGCTTTTTTTTTTGTTTCTAAAGCCTTTTTTTTTTTTTTAAATCTATTTATAAGTTAGTGGCAAATACAATCTGCTTTACTTTTTAAAATCTTCACCATTCACCACACTTTTTGGAAAGTAACATGCATTTCCTGTATCCTAACCCCGTCAACTTGAATATTTATTCTCTCTTTAATAGATCATCACTACCTAAGACTATGAATGGTATAAAAAGTTGTAACAAGTTGGTTTTCCTTTAGCAATACTAAATGTTACGTCAACAGTTGTTTTTCACCTTACAGTGTGTTTAGTGTTGTGCTCATTTATCTTCTGTAAAAGGAAATATATTGGAGGAGGAAGAAAAGGGGATGAGGATAATTAAGTTTTACGATTGTAGATACAGAGCACTATTACTGTCTTGCCGAAAAGGCAGTAAGATTTAAAGTACCTGAAATACAACAACAATTTTAAAGAACAATTTTCTTGAAGTGAAAAATATATATATTATTCTAGGAGTGGGGACATTATTTCACCATATCAGAAGCCAAAGAGCAAATGGGTAACAACGTACAGCTTTCTCAGATCATCACTGACGCTTTCTGAAACAGAGAATGTTCAGCAAGATTCATTAAAGAGTGGTAATACACAACTCTGTATAATCATCTTCAGATCCCGATATCTTCAGAACTAGATAATGTTCCTGCTTAAAAAAATATTCTGTGAAGCTGCTATGCCAGCCTCCAGGCCAATGCTGCCCAACAGGGTTCACAGGGTGCTAGTCAGCTGGTATTTGGAGGTACCCATGAAACAGCTGACAGTCAAAAGTATTAAAAAGCCTTTTCAAGATTCTATGCCAAATAAAAAGTTAAAAAAAAAAAAAAACAGCTATACTAACATCAAAGAAATGCAGTATGTAGCTACACGTAGCCAAATATTGATGAAACGGAGTACTACAACATTGCTGACCACAGGCCTGCTCTAAAAGGGAACAGTCTGCTCTCCTAAATACATACTGCTCAGGAGACAAGCATAACTGTTAATTTCCCTATGCGTGATCAAGGATAAGCTGCCAACACCTTGACTTTTTTGTTTGTTTGAAGTCAAAGGCAGCTTCCAGAAGCTTCATACAATAAAGGAAGGACTACAGGATTGTTAGACCTCTTCTGAAACAAAGAATGAAGGAACAGGTCTAACAAAAAAAAAAAAAATTAAAACTTTCAATACGCTCAGAAGAACGTTCAAACAGTATCAACAGAAAATCAAATTCAGACCATGAAACATTAAGCATTCTAGTTGGAACACTACAAATTTCATTTTGCAGCAAACAGCTACAACCAATTTCAAGTTCGAAGGACACACTGTACCATGTCTAAAGCCAAGTATTTCTGGCAATAAAGCACTAGAGTGCTTCTGGTTTTTTGAATGCTAAGGCCCATTTATTGCCCGGTCCAGCAGAGTCAATGAAACAGAACTACAGAATGCACTGGAACTGTTCAGTTATCTAGTTTTGTGAAGTTTGCTCCTCAAATGAATTTGTGCATGTGCTAACAAAACTGAAAAAAAAAAAAAGTTATTTCTAATGCTATTCTTTACACATAATAAGCAAAGAATGAATATGTGTACTTCAAGTTTAGAATAGCTGTCTTAAATTCAATGAAGAATAAAGAAATGCCACATGGACTTTCATAAGACTCTTAAATAAGTAACTCATAAGAAATATTTTTCAGCTACTAGTGCATACAAATATCAGGGAAAGACATTCCTGAAACTCCTACTTCTTTTTAGTACTTCTGACACTGATGGTTTATAACATATGGATTCAAGGACACTCCTAGGTGGAAATACAGTTTACTTTTCATTTGGTAACATAAGGGATCAGCTGACTTCCAACTTACAGCACTCTAGAACACACTCTCTCAACTTTGTCATTGACTATTTACTCAATACTCACCCAGTCAACCTTACTCTGCAAACATACTTCAGTGTTGCTAGGTAATTCAGTCTGAAAGTTTAACGCAATGGCTGATGCCGGTGAAGATAAGAGAAAACATTAAGAAAAAACATTTTAAATAGACTCCACATTTTCATTTTGTGATACCTGCCACAAGAACATTACCAAAATCCAACTGCAAAGAGATTATGTGGGCATTTATTCACAACTTAAAAGCTCTAAATCACAATAGGACCATTCTTCCATTTCTTCCATGACTTTTAAACAAAGTAAAGATTTATCATATCATTTAGCTTCTGTCCACATCAGCACAGCTGTCACTGTTTCTCTGGCCACCAAAAATTTCTAACTTAATAATAGCTGTAATACTGCAGTATCTAGAAGGCATACAGACATTTAAAAACAAAAACAATATACACACCTGACATAAATACTCCATGATTTTTTACTTAGGTTTTTTTGTTTGTTTTAAACTTGTATGAAGGTTAGATAAGAATGGTACGGTGCAGTATACTGTACTTGCAATGAAACCTAAACAATAATTCGTTTGTTAAATTATGTGTATTTTATGTTTTCAATAGCAGGAGTCAACTAACCCAAGATATCCAAATTTAACAGAGAAGCCTGATCCAGCTTTCTGAAGCCAGAATTTCAAATGCCAAAAAAGAACACCACCAAAAAGAGTTTAAATTCAGATTTTATCACAGAGATGATGTAGTAAGATCAACACACAGCAAGACATTTATACATCACTATAGTTTGAACAAAGTCATTTAAACAAAACAAAACAAAAAAAATCCAAGTCACCTTACACGTCCTTGTTATTTCGTTAAAAGAAACTGAAGCTTTGGCAAAGTGAACTGTATCTTAGCCATGCTACTCACCTTG